CTCGCAATTCTGACTTTATATCTCGCAATTCTGACTTTATAACTCGCAATTGCGAGTTTATATCTCACAATTCTGTGAAAAAAAATGCAGAATTGTAAGATAAAAAGTCGCAATAACCTTTTTAAAATTTTGTATTCAGTGGCGGAAACGGGCTTCCATACATATGACCTAATGAAAGAGCCTGCAATAATGTGGTTTGACCAGTGTGGCGCTGTAGCCCAAAACTGTAATTCAGCCCTCCTGGATGCAATTCAAGAGAAGACAGCACTTCAGAGCAAACTCAGCTGAACCTGAAGCTGCCGAGTGGCATTTGTATGAATATGTAAATATATGCTGCATGCTTTCCTCTCAATAACGAAATACACACAACAAAAACTGACAGCGGTGTGAAAGCAGCAGTTAAAAACACATCTGATTACAGCGATGTGGATGTTTGCACGAGCTCTGCAGTTCAGTACTCCAGTAAAGTCCAGTCACGTCCAGTCATGTTTATTTGTATAGTACTTTATGCAATAGATAGCCTTAAATCAAGCAGCTTTACAGTTTTAAACATGAAAAACCAGAGTCAGTGTCGCTTTCAGTTAGAATTACAACTTGATTTTCTGTTATAAAGCAGCTCTCCAGTGTGGAGCTAGCTAATGATAAAATCTTTTTATTAGTGGGGGAAAAAATATTATTTTATTAAAGTGATAGTTTGGTTTGCGGAGATCAAAGCTTGATCTAGCTCAGGACTGTTTTGATTATCATAACCCTGTAAGGTATTTTAAGAGAGATTATGTTGTGAATAAAACAGTTTATCCAAAAATAAAACGTCTTATCACTTAACATTATTTTGTTTCTTATCCAGATGACTTACAAAAGGAGATGTTAGGCAGAATGATGTGTCATTCAGTTACTTTTCATAAAGCTAATTAAATGGTGAATAAGAGAGTTTCTCTGTCTGTCATCTCATTTTGTGTGCCAAATATATTTATTTGTATAAATTAATTATATAATAATTGTAATTACATAATATGATTTTCAAAAGCTGAAGTGATTACCTTTATTTATTTGTTAGAATATGTATAACTCAATATTTTAACTAATTGCAAAAGCTGAAAAATCAAAGTCTACTGATTAATTAATTGAAGATTTATCGATTAATCGTTCTAATAATCGTTAGATTAATCGAGTATCAAAATAATCGTTTGTTGCAACCCTAGTTCTGAACTGTTGAGTGTTTATGAGTCATAACACAATTAGCTTTTGCTGTTATTATATTGTATGTGTGGTTACTAAGTATGTTCTGTGTGGCTACTACACTGAAAAAAATGGTGTAGATTTACTATGAAACAATTTTCACTCTGAAATGGTCAGTAAATGTTACTGGCAAGTAGCACATTGAATGTGATGAACATGAAGCCTGAAATAGTATTTTATTTTAAAACCAATAATCTTTGTTTTATTGTATCCAATCAATCACCATATAAAATGTATTAGTATAAGGACCTACATTATGTTTTATCTACACATCTTTCTTCAGTGTAACATTCTAGTGGAATAGTTTGAGCCTATCTCAACATATTTAATTTTTCTTAAATATAAATTGCACAGCCAATGAAACGCATCACCGTACCTATGCAGATGCGAGCGGGGACGGATGACTGGCTGATCCAGAAAGAGACCCAGGACAGCACCACCAGCAGGCTGGATGGCACGTACGTCTCCAGGATGAAGTACAGGATACTCCTCTTCAGCTCGAAATGAAAAATCAGCTTGGGATAATTTCCTGGGAAGAGATTCAAAGTAGTGATGTGAAATGCTAATGCTGTCCGTCCCAAGTAAAAATCTTCAAGACCATCAATAAATCAGAGATTAAGAAGTTATTGGAGTGGTTTGTACACACTGTAAAGTTTCAGGAGTGCCAACCATATCATTATCATTGCAGGTTTATGTGTGTATGGAACAGAACTCACTCTCGTAACTGCGATGATTGACACCATAGCAATGTTTTGGTATCCGCTATTTCAACCAAAGTAATAATACAGCAACCAAAGACTTATTATGTTCACCGATTTTAACTAAACCACTGTTGACAGAGGAGTCAAATGTGTCCCTGCAGCACAAAAGCAGTCTTAAGTCGCTGGGGTATATTTGTAGCAATAGCCAACAATACACTGTATGGGTCAAAATTATTGATTTTTCTTTTATGCCAAAAATCATTAGGATTAAGTAAAGATCATGTTCCATGAAGATATTATGTCAATTTCCTACCGTAAATATATCAAAACTTAATTTTTTATTAGTAATATGCATTGCTAAGAACTTCATTTGGACAACTTTAAAGGTGATTTTCTCAATATTTAGATTTTTTTTTGCACCCTCAGATTCCAGATTTTCAAATAGTTGTATCTCAGCCAAATATTGTCCTATCCTAACAAACCATACATCAATGGAAAGATTATTTATCCAGCTTTCAGATGATGTATAAATCTCAATTTTGAAAAAATTTACACTTAAGACTGGTTTTGTGGTCCAGGGTCACATATTTGTTTAGGTTTGAAAGGCTACTTTGTAGAGTGTGCTCTTGAGTGGTTGACATGTCCACTTATTATAAGCGACGCTTATTAAGCATCTTTGGGCTTATTGTTTGAGCTTGGCTCAATAAGCGATCCAGCTTAGAGTCAATAAAGTAGGCAGGTGCAGGTCGCGATATTTTGGTATGTGACTTATTTCCAAGCATCTGGATTTGAGTTTATTATGGGCTTGTTCTTACTTGCTGTTCTTTTCTAGCAAGATCTGGCAACATTAATAAGTCAAAACGTACTCTGTGACAGAAAACACACAACTCTGATACATGTTTAAATACGCCATTAACAACTAGTTGTTCAGTTCGGTTCCGTACACACTGTATAGAATTTCTGTAAACGTTGTTCTCACTGCCTGCATTTTTCAGGAGTCAAGTTGATTGCAGAATGCGTTTGTCACTCCTTTAAATTACTGAACTGTGTTTACAGAACAGGAATAGGGTTGCAAAAAGGTGGAAAATGTCCAGTACATTTCGGAAACATTCCAGGAGTTTTTGGAATCTTCCAGGGATTTATGGAAAGTTTCCGGAAATTTACCGGATATTTTCCACCCCTTTGCAACCCTAAACAGGATTAAGCACTAAAAGCTGAATTTACACCCAAATTCAGCTGCAGTGTGTACATAGCCTATGCCACTCTTAAAATAAGAGGAATGATGGTCATTTTGAAATATGAGAGCAAATTATTGTTCTGGAGTCACTGCTGAACTCACAAAGCAATAATCTGCCGTAAACAAGAAACATGGCCACTTCAGTGTCATTTCTGATGAAGCAGGTGTTATTATCTGGCGTTGTTTAATAAGCTGCTCCACAGACGTTAGATGTGTGACTGTGGTGTGTTTGTGGTCTTGTGTACCCGTCTCATATACGGCCTCGGATTCTGAGGTGTAATGATCCTCTATGGTGTACTGAGCCAGTCTCAGCGTGTCCAAACCGCTCACAGAGTCGTTCCCACGCGCCCAGTAAAACATCACGTCATTGACGTTATAACCCCCTGTGAACAGATAAACAGCATATGTAAAAATCACACTTTCATACGTGGGAAATAAATCAGATATGTCTCGTCGTATACATCAACATTGCATGGTCAATTTACCCTTGAATCATACGATACAAAGACAATTTATGAATTGCACTATATACTGTAAGTTTTACACTGAAATGGGCAAAAATATACACTACCGGTCAAAAGCTTGGGATTGGTAAGATTTTTTAATGTTTTTGAAAGAGTCTCTCTTCTGCTCACCAAGGCTGAATTGATTTGATCTAAAATACTGTAAAATTGTGAAATATTATTACAATGTAAAACAGCTGTTTTCTATGTGAATATCTGTTAAACTGTAATTTCTGTGATGCGCAGCTGTATTTTCAGCATCATTACTCCAGTCTTCAGTGTCACATGATCTTCAGAAATCATTCTAATATGCTGATTTGCTGCTCGAGAAACATTTCTGATTATTATCAATGTTGAAAACAGTTGTGCTGCACAATATTTTCGTGGAAACTGTGATACATTTTATTTTTCAGGATTCACAGATAAATAGAAAGTAAAAAAAAACAGCATTTATTTGAAATAGAAATACTTTGTAACATTATAAATGTCTTCACTTTCACTTTTGATCAATTTAATGCATCCTTGATGAATAAAAGTGTTCATTTCTAAAACAAAATAAATAAATTAATAAAATAAAATAAATCATTTTAAACCCAAACTTTTGAACACTAGTGTATTTGTTTTAATATTAATCCATTCTCACACTTGCTTTGATCAGTGAAAACAAAAATTCAAATGTTAATGCTCAAGCAAAGACGCAAGACTAGAAGTCCAATGTTTTTGTAGTTTCATATAAACACAACATTTTAACAACAGATTAAATTATATTAAGAAATTGACATTATTATGAACAAGAGAAGAGAATTTGACGCATGCAGGTCAGTTCTGGAGTGATCTGATAAGGGACACATTGTAAATGCAGTCTAATTATTTCATATATTAAGCATTAGATTTCATATTTTGACGTGTAGTGACTCTATCAGATAAATGTCCACATGTATGGGTGTGTAATGTCAGTATGTGTGCTCTTGGTGGCGCTGTGTGACAGTAATCAGATACTGAGCGTCTGTGAGATGTGTTTTCTGGATTCATTAATGTGTGTTCACTCAGACTCCCTGAAGACAGAAACGGCGCGTGATGGAGTGTTTCTAATCTCACACACGACTGTGAGCCACTGCAGTCTCACATTATATATCTGTACAGTAAACCGTGATTTAGACTTTGCAATTAAGACATGCAATATGCTGCATGCAGGGAGCGGGTTCTGTCTTGATGTGGTTCACTGCGTGGCACGCGAATATAACGTCTAGATGAAAGGCCATGATTCAAAGAGACTTTAGAAACCCTCGTTTGAAACAAAGCCACCTTTGAACATCTCAATCCACCACGTCTCTGCATATGATCCATCAGGCACAAAGACGGAGAATCTTTCATTGTGCCGGTCTCACGATTTCTGTCAAACGTCGTATAAATATTTGAGCTCAATTTCAGAAGCGTTTGACCTGTACATCGACATGAATTTCCAAAAATAAAATTCCTTGGAGGAAGTCAGATTGCATGTAACGTCTGCCAAATGCATGGATAGTTTAATGTTCAAAACGATGCCATTTGTGTTCAGACAAGTGATGCACAACTTCTGGAAGAAATATGTGACAGTCTGCTGGATACTTTGTTATGTGATGGTATTTACTTCATGCTGACATTTTTGGCTGTTTTCTTAAAAATGCACAACGCAACTGAAGGGCTCAGTGAGCAAAAGCCATTATTTCTAAATTAACGGTAAAAAAAACCCCGTAAAAATGGCAAAAGAGCTATGCATTATGTTCATATAAAAGATTGTGCAAATAATTCTCATTGGAAAATTTGCGCAAAAAAATATCTGGCTAATTTGGGACAAAATGTGCTTAAATCGCCGTTTCGTAAAAAATATACTTAACAATTGAAAAAGAACTGCACGTTACGTTCTTATGAAAAATTGTGTAAATAAATCTGAACGAAAAAAAAACTGGCCTTTCAGAATTTGGGAGAAAATGTGCTTAAATGTTTTCATGTAAAATATATTTAAAAATTGAAAAACAAAACAAACAAACAAACAATAAATAAATACAATTGCGAAAAAATAATTATGAAAGGGTGTGCAAATAATTTGCTTTGGAAAATCTGTGGGGGAAAAAAAGGACTTTCAGAATTTTTGAGAAAATGTGCTTAAATCATCAGTTCATGAAAAATTATGTTTGCAAATTTAAAAATTCCAAAATAATTATGAATTATGTTCATATGATTGTTTGTTCAAATAATTCAATAATGTGAAAAATCTAGCCTTTTTTTAGCAAAATGTGCATAAATCATATTTTCATGAAAATCTATAGCAAAATAACTGCATATTATGTTTATATAGAATACTTTTTCTTTGGAAAACCTGTGGAAAATTACAATTTGGGGCAAAATTGTCATGAAAATAATGTCACAATGCAAACAACAACAAAAGACGCTAACACTTTACAGTAAGTTTCATTAGTTAACTACATTAGTTTAACATGAACTAAGAATGAACAATACTTCTACAGCATTTATTAATCTTCGTTAATGTTAATTTCAGCATTTACTGTGAACTAACATGAACAAACCATGAACGACTGTATTGTTATTAACTAACATTAACAAAGATGAATAAATAGTTCTTTGGAAAACCTGTGGAAAATTACAATTTGGGGCAAAATTGTCATGAAAATAATGTCACAATGCAAACAACAACAAAAGACGCTAACACTTTACAGTAAGTTTCATTAGTTAACTACATTAGTTTAACATGAACTAAGAATGAACAATACTTCTACAGCATTTATTAATCTTAGTTAATGTTAATTTCAGCATTTACTGTGAACTAACATGAACAAACCATGAACGACTGTATTTTTATTAACTAACATTAACAAAGATGAATAAATAGTTTAATAAATGTATTGTTCATCGTTCGTTTAATACATTAACTAATGTTAACAAATGACCCGTTGTAAAGTGTTACCAAAGCAGCTCTCGGGCGTTTCATTAGAGAAAGACTGCGGTTTGTGGGCGACAGACTGAGACTAAAGAAGCTCATCTAAACCTCTACTCTTTAAGCCGCCGCTCTTATATAAGCACCAGCAGAAGACGTGGAAGAGATCCACATCCAAAACTCACAAGAACGAGGAGCTCAGAGAACAGCAGAAGAGAGAAAGATAAAGTCAGCAAGAAGATAAAGCAGCTTTAGGGGCCAAACGAACGCAAATCAGGTTCCATGGGAAACTAAATTGACCTGAATCTACACACATCAATACAGGAGCATCTTGGACTGATTTCTGTCTGTCTGTCTGTAATATTTATTTATATATTATCTTATGCAACTACACATCAGAGATCTGCATTGCATGCACGTGCATGGAAAGTAAACAGGCGTAATGTGGCGTGTTTGGATGCAACCACAACATGTTCTTATCAAATATGAAACAGCGTGAATATGAAACGTGCCGTTTTATGAGTACAGATGTCACAAACAAGAGCCCAAAAACGTCAGGTTGTTGACAGAGCAACACTTTGGGGAAGCAAAAGCTGGAAGTGCGTGTGTTTTCTTACAGCTCTCTAGTTGTAAGGTGCACGTCTGTTTGTCCATGGGATATTTGGTCAGATCCATGTTACAGGCCACAGTCGTGGTGATCCTACAGAGAGAAAACATAAACACTCATAAACACTGACATGTTCTCATCATTTCTGACGTTTAATGAAAGGTAAAGAGGCACAGACTGCAAAACATCCCATCCGTAATCAGTATTTTATAGGACTGTCAATCGATTAAAATATTTAATCGCGATTAATTCCATTTTTATCTGTTCTAAATGTACCTTAAATTAATACTTTTCAAGTTTTTAATACTCTAATCAACATATGCATGGACAAATAAAGATGTTTTATGCAAATGTATGTTTATTATTAGTGAAACCATAGTCAACATAGAGCATGAAGACTAGACATGTTTCAAAGGTCATAGATGTTTTTCAAAGAACTTGTTCGTGTTTGAAAATGAAAAAAGAACATAGAAATACCAGGTTCCCTTTATTTCTCTTTCTTTGCACTGAGCAATGTATTTACTTACACAAGCCTGTTTACATTATTCGCAGGACAGGGCAGATCACTTCTTCTGAACATGCAAAATGTACATTTATTATTACATTTGTTTGCCTCTCTGTGCCCACATATACTGTATTTCGATGCAGCTAAATTCTCAATAAAACAGTTTTCATTGATATATTTTACTGTTTCTGTTGTCAGACGATGGAATGAATATGAAATAGAGACTGAAACGTGACCCATTAAGACTACATAGCTCTCCCTTCCAAGATGTTAATCTGCACAAAAATCCTGATTTATAATCGAGCCGTCGTCTGATGAAACCAAATACACATAAGATAAAGACAATAGCTGTGCTGCTCCTCTCAGCCGCTCGCTGAACAGAGCATACCGGCGAGTCTCCGAAACTAAATAAGGTTTGTCTAATTATGTGTTATGTATTGTTGCTAGGCGCTTTTTTGAAAAAAGTCGCCAAGTTGGCAACACTGTGCATCTCCATTTCTCCAACTACGGGTTAGGCCACGGGTCAAACAGAACATGCACGCTTCGTTAATCGCGCGTTATTAAAATTAGTGCCGTTAAAATGAGTTTGCATTAATGCGTTAATTTTGACAGCCCTAGTATTTTAGTCTTGCTTTCCAGTAGAAATATCTATAACATCATTAAACCAAGCGATTTAAAAAAATCCAGATTTTCTGAGCTTGTTTGTAGAGCTGCACAATTTGGAAAAAAAATAAAATAAATAAAATAATAATAATAATCATCATCATCACTATTATAAAATTATTATTAATTATTATTATTATTATGTAAAAATAAACAAATGTATAATAATAAATAAGTTTATATAATTTGTTTTGTTATTTATTATCATTTGTTATTTATTATTTTTAAATAAAAACAACTAAATAAACATTCTAAATATTTAAATAAGATGCAAAACTGAATTCAGACTTCTTTATTTTGAATTGTTATTCATTTTAACAAGGTTTGAATTTAATATTATTATTGTTATTACCAATAATAATAATAATTACAAAAACAACAATAAAAAATTATGAAAAATACCTATATTATTATATACTTAATGTGAGTTTATATCTCACAATTCTGTGAAAAAAAGTCAGAATTGTGAGATAAAAAGTCGCAATTACCTTTTTTTTTATTTTTTATTCAGTGGCGGAAACGGGCTTCCATAGAAAAGTTACTAAATCTAGCGAAAAAAGTTGCTAAGTTTGCAACATTGTGCATCTCCATTTCTCCAACTACGGGTTAGGCCACGGGTCAAACAAAACATGCGCGCTTCGTTAATCGTGCGTTATTAAAATTAGTGCCGTTAAAATGAGTTTGCATTAATGCGTTAATTTTGACAGCCCTAGTATTTTAGTCTTGCTTTCCAGTAGAAATATCTATAACATCATTAAACCAAGCGATTTAAAAAAATCCAGATTTTCTGAGCTTGTTTGTAGAGCTGCACAATTTGGAAAAAAAATAAAATAAATAAAATAATAATAATAATCATCATCATCACTATTATAAAATTATTATTAATTATTATTATTATTATGTAAAAATAAACAAATGTATAATAATAAATAAGTTTATATAATTTGTTTTGTTATTTATTATCATTTGTTATTTATTATTTTTAAATAAAAACAACTAAATAAACATTCTAAATATTTAAATAAGATGCAAAACTGAATTCAGACTTCTTTATTTTGAATTGTTATTCATTTTAACAAGGTTTGAATTTAATATTATTATTGTTATTACCAATAATAATAATAATTACAAAAACAACAATAAAAAATTATGAAAAATACCTATATTATTATATACTTAATTATGTATTGTTATTATTTTTACTAATTATTGTCATTATTAATTATTAATAATATAAAAATACATAAATTAATAATAATACATGATTTTTAAAAATAACTTTAGCTATTTTTTATTATTATTAAAAAAATAAAAATATATTCATAATAACAATAATAATATTTTAAATGATGATGATGACGATGATTACTATTATTGTTACTAAATAAACATATAAAGATTACTAACTGAATTCAGACTAAACATCAGTCCAGCTCGAGCAGATTCACAGCTATATATATATATCTGTGCTACAGACGAGATAAAGCCTCACCGGAGCGCATAGAGAACGGTTCCGTTGGGAAAGATCCGGATCAGTCGGTTCTCCACGGTGATGTCGTGGAGGAAGGACTTCTTGGAGTCCACTATAAAGGTGTCTGGGACCCACAGCAGCTCCACCAGTCGCCCGTCCAGACTCAAGCTCTTATTGCCTTCAAACACGAGCCGCTCGTCTGTCCAGCGCTGCCGGAGGAAGATCGTGGCCGTGTAATCCTGCCCAGTCAACAACAGCAGCTCGATCAGCAACGAATTAAGTTCTTATAATACAACAGCAGAGCATCCATAATGATTTAGCAAACACTACAAATATACATTTTCACATTTTATGAACAGAACAACATAAACTGTGTGAGATGAGCCAAAGATTAATGCTTGAGGTTAAGAATATGAACAAACCCTTGACTTTAAGTACAAGCAATAAGAAGAATACATATTTTAATATTATTTTGAAATATTATTATTGTTTTGTTTTAAATTGTCATTATTAATCATGTAAAAAAAAACTTTATAAAATATTTAAGTTAAATAAATAATAAACATGTTTTAAATATTATTTAATTATTATTATTATTATTTAAAAACATTACTATTTATTATAATATTGTTAATATTTCGCAATCCCTCAACCTCAAGCATGAGCAATCAATCAATCAATCAATACAAATAATAATGAGCACATAACACATTTCGAAGTCATCATTCATGGAAACTAATGTATAAGATATTTTAATTTCACTCCCAGGTGTGGTGTGTGTTTCTCACCATGTTGATCTCTGATATCGTATCAATGCTGGCGATGTCTAAACTCATGCCCACCGTGACGGGACCATCTGAAGCACAGAGACGAGAGAAGCCATGCAAACATCATGTACATCTGCAGCTCTGCAATCCATCGTAATTCAGAGAATCCTTGTTAAAGACGCAACTCTCAGCTGTTTACTCTGAAACTATGACTCAGGAGGAGATGCCGATTCACTGCGTTATTGAAGTATCTGTCCCTTCGGATTCGCCAGCAGAACTTCACACGAATGCACTGTGAGAGATGTGAGTGGAAAGGCAATTTACTCTGAGATGAGCAGCTGTGAGAAATGCATTACGCCGTAAGAGCGACGGGAAGCAATGCAAAGATGCAAACGATTCGACATCAACAGTGGATTGATTTCATACCAACTACTGGAGTTTAGTCTCATTAAACAGCTTTTGCATTCATGCATTTAGCAGACGGTTTTATCTGAAGCGACTTGCATTGCATTCAAGGTTTACACTCGATTAGTTAATGCATTCTTTGCGAATCCCAATGATCTTGACGTTATTAGCACCATGCCGTACTGTGAGTTACAAGAATACTTTTGTTAGTTGCTTATACTCTGCGACATGGCAAAAAATAAATAAAATCCTGTTTTTTCCAGAACGCTGGACTGATTTGAGATAATGATTTAGATTTTTTTTTAAATCTAATTCAAAATATTAACAAAAAACTACAATGGTATCTCAATTGTACTTAAAATAATAAGTGAGCATGCATATTTGTTCGAGAGCAACGCAGGCTCGATTGCATGTTATTGCATTTTGTAATGTCTCAGAAGACGCCACAAGGGGCGCTATAGTGCTAATTCAAATAACAAGAGCAACAGTTTAAAGAGAATCTTACTGAGAAGGTTAGTTAAACTCTTGACATGTTGTTCATGTACAACGAAACCGTGTCTTAATTGACTTCTGAGCATCTTTCTCTCACTTTCTGATTGATGATACTGTGGCTCAATCACATTTAGATTCTCGTTTGAATGTGTAGCATAACCAAGCATCAAACAATCTGTTTTAAATGAAAATGTTGGAGTAAATCACCGTTCAGCCCACATAAACACGCACATGCATTAAACATCCATTACGTCCTTACTGTCAAAGAAAGGCCGGAGGTATTTGTTGTATCCTTTCATCAGCTTCTGGATGGTCGGAGGAAGAATCTCTCCCTCTTTCACCTCGGAGCTGAGCAGAGAGTTCTCCAGAAACCTGTGGGAGAAACACGGAGGAATATGAACGAAGAGAAAGAAGGTTTCGCTTCCTCTGCACTGTCATTATTTCAGGGCAGATCGCTGATGAACGGTTTGGTTTCAGTGTTAAATCAGCGGCCCACACTGATAACAGTGTTCAGATCCCACAACAACTTTACATTAAGATAGAGAGACAGAGAGAGAGAGAGAGAGAGAGAGAGA